AACCCCATCGGACATCAAGATGGTGGATGGAGAGGAGATAGTGGTGGTGAGCGCTTCAGAAGGGGTGAACACCAGGGGGAAGACACGTACAACATCCAAAAAGAAGGACCAAGCAGGAGCAAACGCCGCTATCCGCCTCCTAGAAACGTGCCAGAAGCTAGTCCAAAGCCAGCAGTCTAAGGGCAAAACAAAGATAATCAGCATTGACAGGAGCCTGTTTGAAGAGCTAATTGACCGAGTCAAACAGTGCGAAAAGATTACTGAGGATAGCCTCAGTTTCAATAGTATAACAGTTAAGCAGTATCTTGAAACCTTCGAGACTAATCTAGTGGAAAGGATCAACTCTTTTGTTACAAACAAGCTATCTGTAGCGTTTGAAAATGCGCAGGTCGGTACAGAGGAAAGGTTGGCAGCCACAGTCGAAAAGTCAATCTAGAATGTAAAAATACCAGCGCCTATATGGGCTGCCGTTGCCTTACGCGGTATTGCAAGCTCCGCCAGTATCCCACTCTCATAATCCACAGGAAGTAGCAGCCAGAGCGCGATTGGATCTACCAACTTGCGTATTACCACCCCCCTAGTGCAACAGGAGGAGAGTATAAATGCAGGCACAAAGGAAAAGTTCACGAGATACATGGATGTGAAAGAGGCGACCAACTGGATCACCAGAGCCCTACAAAAGCATGAGACCACGAAGGAAACAGAGATAGCAGGAGTAGGCGTAACAAAGTTTGGCTATGTTATATGCTTTAAAAATGAGAAATTAAAGGAGATAGCCTCGAAACATAATGAATAGTTGGCAGACCTCTATCCAGAGACAAAGATTGATAGACCCTGATATGGTATTATAGTCTATCGCACCCCAACCAAACAGGTCCAACTAGATGACAAGACAGAGGCAGCAACTAAGCTCCTAGAAGAGAACGACCTCACCTCAAAAGGCTACCGTATCACGGATATAGCCTGGCTTAAACGCAAAGACGTACCCCTTGGAAAGCATGCCTCGCTGGGAATATGGTTTGATAGCCCTGGTGCAGTTAAGTGGGTAGTGCGCAATAGAGTTCTCTTTGGTAAGCAGTATATTGGCAGCGTTGAGCCATATAAGCTAAGAAGGAAGAGATGCCACCGGTGTGCAAGAATTAGACACCTAGCTTGAAATTATAAAGAACAAAGAAGATGTGCATACTGCCTGGAAGACCATGACAAGAGCGAATGCCCAGAGGGAACTCAACCTCGATGCGTAGACTATAACTAAGGACATCATACAGAAGCAGCTGAATGCACTAATCAGGCCATAAGATTTCCACGTTTCCAATAATGACCACCCTATAAATATTACAATTGAACACTATACGCTCCAGAGCATGTATAGAAGCCCTAATTAACAACATACAGTCAGCGAAGCTTGACATACTCCTAATCCAAGAACCCTCAGTCTCATACTACAAAACACACACACAACACTGATATTGGCAGCTATACCAACCAACCTCAGACAGAGAAGGACGGTGCCGCAGCCTCATATACATCAACAAACGACTTGCTCCTCCGGCACATCGACAACTACGGTGCAACAACCTAGATGTAACTAGAATATTGGTTAGCACACCAGCAGGGCTAGTCATGATCTTCTCAGTCTACATTCCACCTATTAGGAGCACCCGCGAAGTAGCAGAGGGTGAAATGCAAGCCATCCTAGAGGCCATCAATAGTACCATTGCGCAGAACTCTCCTGTCACAGAAGATGCTTATAAGCTAATAATAGGTGGAGACTTCAATCGGCAAGATCCACTATAGGGAGGTGACAACATTCAGCCATATAGAGTAGGAGAAGCAGCCAGCCTCCTCAGTTTCATGGAGGAACACAGCCTATACCACCAACTACGACGAGGCAAACCAACGTGCTGGACTGTGACTCAGCCAGGGAGTAGAACCACACTTGACCTGACTTTAAGTAATATATCAGGTCAACTTAGAAAGTGCCACTTATACTATAAAAACTACGGATCCGACCACCGCGGCATTGTTTCAGAATGGAATTTCCCTATACAGCAGAGAGAGGAAAAACCACCACGCCATTTGTATGAGCAGACAGACTGGGACAGCATTGGCGACCTAATAATGCAATATATTAGAAGCTACGCCAACATCGACACAAACGAACGGTTAGATGAGCTAGTAGAACACTTTACAAGGATAATAGCAGATGCAGTCAAAAAGCAAACCCCACTAGCCAACCCATGCCTATATTCCAAGCATTGGTTCACCCCAGATCTGAAAGAGAAGCAACAACAGTACAATAAAGCACGGCGAAAGTAGCAAATATCTATAGCCAGACTAAGCCGCGAGCACCACGTCACCCAAGAACTATTTGTATTAATGCAAGGCCGCAGGAAGGAATGGGCGAAGGCCATTAAATGAGCTAAATCCACATATTGGAAAGACTTCCTCGACCAAGTTGCAGACAGGAACCTTCTATAGAAGGCCGCGAAATATGCGGAACCAGGCACCAAATATGCAAACATTCCACCACTGCGCGATAGGGAGCAGCAAGCAATTAAAAGTGAAGACAAGGCTAAGCTCTTTATAGAATCATTCTTCCTACCTACACCTATACCAGTAATGTCCCTTAATAACAAATACATAGCATAGGCTGAACTTCCCTGGGAACCAATCACCGAGGGCGAGATCTATGCCGCGTTGGTCACAACAAAGGATTTGTCTGCCCCAGGAGATGACGGGCTACTATATGTTGTGTGGAAGAAAACCTAGAAACATACATCACCCATTATCACTACCCTATTTGAAGCAGCACTTTACCTAGGACACCATCTAAGGTCATGGAGAATAGCAACCATTATAGTCTAGCGCAAGTCAGGGAAGCCAGACTATACGCAACCTAGCGCGTATAGGCCCATCTCTCTACTCAACATATTAGGCAAACTCCTAGAAGCAACAGTTGCGAGAAGAATGTCATACTATATAGAGTGCCACAACCTTCTCCTAAGTACGCAGTTTAGAGGCAGGCCTGGGCGATCCACTGAACAAGCACTCCTTATCCTAGTTGACGCAATATGGAAAGCATGGAGATAAAGCAAGGTAGTGACACTGTTAGCCCTTGACGTTAAAGGCGCCTTCAATGGCGTCAATTACCTAGTCATAAACCAAATACTCTATAAAATAGGGATACCAGCAGTAGCACGACAGTGGATAGACAGCTTCATGAAAGACAGATGGGCAAGCTTCAGATTTGACAGCTACTGCTCAGACAAGAACTTACTGGCCTACCCGGGATTACCACAGGGGTCCCTGATCTCACCCATTCTATACACAATCTACAACTAGAAGCTAGTAGACCAAACTATAGATAATACATGTGGTGCATCAGCATTCATTGACGATTACTTCCGCTGGCACTACAGACCTAGCGCTAAAGAAAATACCCAAAAGCTCCAAGCAGAAGATATTCCTAGGATCAACAAATGGGCTAATCAGACTGGGTCAACCTTTGAAGTTAGGAAAACAGAGTTGATACACTTCACTTGTTCCCGAAACAAGCAAATAACTAGCTCAATCATCATAAATGGCCAGGAGATCTCCCCCTCTAGCAATGTGAAGCTCCTAGGAGTTATCTTCAACTTAGAGCTCAGATGGCGAGCCCACACACAAAGGGTATCCAAGCGAGCAACCATCACATGTATAGGCATAAGCCGACTTCGTCACCTAAGGCCAAAACAAATGCGGCAGCTATACCAGACATGCGTGTTACCTAAACTCGACTACGCCTCAACAGTGTGGTATAGACAAGGAAGAGTATAGCAGACAATAGCGCTCTGGAAGATCTAACGCATAGCAGCGATCAAATCCATCTCAGCGTTCCGCACAGTTTCCACTGACGCGCTCAAGATCGAATCAAACCTTCTCCCAACACACCTTAGACTTAGACAAAGGGTGTTAAATGTCCTAGGCAAACTTAAGACACTGCCCACTAACCACCCAATCTGGCCGCTTGTCCATCCGACCGCGCCAGCCCCAACCTGCAGTATAATGCAAAGCCCACTTATACTTATAATAGCTACAGCGACAGAGAACAGGCTGTTATAGAAACTTGAAATTATTAACCTAGCACCACCCCCTCCATAGCGACGAACACTATTTGCAACAATAAAAATAACACGCAGCAGAGAAGAAGCTAAAATAATGGCCATGTTGCTGGTCTTAGCTAATCCTGATTCAGTAATATTCACAGATGGCTCAGGAAAAGATAGGGAACTTGGCGCAGCAGCAATTACACTAGGACCTAAGCAAAATATCAAGCATAAGGTTTACGTCGGCGTAGGCTCGAAAAGCGGATGGAATATTTTTGCTGCTGAACTGATTGTAATATTCTTCGCACTATATATGATCCGCAGGGACTACAGTTGGAATTCAGCTATATAGAAGCTAACACAAAACCATTACACTATCCTAAGTGACTCTAAGGCAGCACTATAAGCAATAGCTAACCTATAGGCGCGGACGGCGCAGTATATCACTTAAAGGATTAATATAGAAGCCAAACGCCTTAGCAAGGGATGCGGTATCGACATACACCTTACCTGGATCCCAGGGTATAAGGGCATCCAGGGAAATGAGCTCGCGGACGAGGAAGCCAAGGAAGCTGTGGAAAGGCCACTAGAACACCACTTCGCCCCACTCCTCTCCGCATAGAAGAAGCTGGTCAAAGATCTGATACAACGGCAATAGAGAGAAGAATGGAAAAGCTCGCCAAAGGGCGAACATCTCCGCAAAATTGACCCTTCCTTACCAGGAAAACACGTGCGCAAGATCTATGACACGAAAACGTGCCCTCAAGCAAACCTACTAGCTCAACTATATACAGGCCACTTATAGCTAAAGAGCTATAGGAAGAGGTTTGGTAAAACCTAGGATGATAACTGCGAATGTGGAGCGAGAGAGACACTGGCACATGTGTTTCTTGACTGTCCTACTCTATAAGGACTATAACAACGACTGCGGAGGCGGATAGGACCCTGTCTTAACAGCCTATTGTCTTTGATTTCGGAAGATATAGCAGATGGAGAGCTACATGCTATACTTGAATTTGCTGAAAAGTCTGGAAGGTTCCGCAATAGAGACCTTTGATACTAAAGCTAGGTTATGTTTACGCTATAAATAGGATGAGAGACAAGGTTACTATAAAGAGACAACTCTAAGTAGGAACAAAACTTCAGGAAATAGAACCGTAAAGAGGAATGTAAATAGATCACACGACTCGTATGTAGCCTGCATATCCTTACTAGGATGGGTCAGGGTAAATGAAAAATCAAATCAAATCAAATCAAATCAAATCAAACCAAAAGATGTACAACAATATATGTTATTACTATAAGAATACATTTTCATCAAAATACATCCATCTACATTACATTTTCACTTCCTTTTGCTTCCCTGAGAGCTGCACATCAGCAATCTCAAGCACTGCCTAGCTTAGGCTAGCCCCTCAGTGCGATTAGCGGGGAAGCTGCATAAGTTTTCGGCGCAACAGCACCATCAAGAGTTCGTGACGAATTTTAGGCCTGGATATAGGACTATAAGACTATGATAAAGACTGTCCATATACCTTAAAATCATTTGAAGCTGATAGTGGTGATAGGACAGAAGATTTGTCCTAAGCTATAAAAAGAGCTTCCTTTGAGAGCAGTCGAGGAGAGAATAGATACTAATGTAATTTTCGAATCAGACATGCTGCGAGTGTTTAGAATCAGGAAAAGTATATGAACGAGCTATATTTATGAAGAGATAATGGTATTTGCGAAATATGGATTGTGAAGAAGTCAAAGTAGCAGCGATTTGTCCCGTTATAGAGGGCGTCCCGTAACCTAGGGGGAGATGTTATAGCTTTATAGGAGGATTCACCGATCATCGGCCCTTGGTTTGAGCTTGTGCGCAATACAACCAGCAAGCTTGGCATCAGTGACATCGACATCTAAAAATTTTTTTGAAGCGGGATTCAAGTTTGTGGTGATTGCAACAGCTAAGGGTTACTATATTTGAAAGACGCCATAGTTCAAAGGCTATACAGCCTGGCCATCGCGCATGGTCACTGTCATTTGGTGCTCAAGGTTGGGCATTACCACCATTCATCATCTGCTCTGGTAGCAACCACCTTTCGGCAGGGTACAAGGACGGTCTTCCTCCTAATTGGATGATCGCTGTCAGCGAGAATGGGATGGACCACCAATATGCTAGGATTGGCATGGTTGAAGCATCTTGATCAGCATACAAAGGATTGTACACAAGGTACACGTAGGCTGCTTATCCTTGATGGCCTTGAGGGCCATGAATCACTTGAATTCAAGCTCTTTTGTCAGGAGCAAAAGATTTTCACCCTCTGTATGCATCCGCACTCATCACATCTTTAACAACCGCTGGATATAGTCTGCTTTGGACCATTAAAACAGACATGTAGTCATCAGATTCAGCAGGTGATGAAAGCTTTCATTCATCACATGACAGTGCTTGAATTCTTTCCTGCCTTCAAGCAAGCATTCATTCAGGCATTACGACCAGATGATGTAGGATATGGATTCAAGAGTGCTGGCTTCCTGTCATTTGATCCAAAAGCGCCCACGCCACCACCAATTGAGCAGCTAGAATGGCGTTCGTCCGCTTCCTCACTCTCCCGAGCCTGATCAAGCCATTTTCTTGGCGGTTCGACAAGGACGGATTAGATGATTCGATTGATTTGATCAAATCCTACACGTATTCAGCCATTATTTTCTCATACATATGCCCGGCGAAGATAACGTGGCCTAGATTCGCTAAATTTGTTGAAAATCAGATTCGAAATGGGGAGAGGGGCAAGCAGGAAAATGTGTGGTAGTGCTAATTCTCGTTACCGTATGATGGATGGAGAGGACTTGACGGAGCTGACGTTAAAACAGATTCCAAAGGAATTCTTTTTTAGCAATATTTTTTCAATCAATTGCATCAGGTCATACGTACATGGGATGCTTGCTCAAAATGAAGTATGTCATTTTGCTGAAGGCCCAAATCCGGATGCTACTGCTACCTGCATGAATCTACCTTGCTTTGCTACAAGGTTGCATATCAAGGTTAGCGAGGATCATATAAGAGCCTTGAAAGACGCAATTTGTTGATTTATCAACGTAACCAAGGATAAGATATTGTAATTTAAATTTTTTGGCCGCTGCCTTCTTTCAAAGTGCTAACCAATGACAGCAACAGCCCCAATAAATATTCGCAAGATGCAGTATACAGGCGTCGCCATGACCTCCATGAAGTTTGGAAATCTTCATCCTCTTCCTGACTTAAGCGTTTCGAAAGATTTCTTCAACCGGAAACCCTTCATTTGTCGCAGCTGGAGCAGAAGAGAGCAAAAGCTCCAAGCCCCAAGGGTCGCTGACGAACTTGAGCATAAGATTGGTGAATATCCTCTTACTTCCGAGCTTACCAGATGGGTTGCTTCAGCCTTTGCCACTTACATACCCTCTGACGATGCCGTGAAACTAGTTCAACCCTTCTCCGCAGAATTCCATCAGGTGCTAGAGAAAGAGCGCGCAAATAGCACAGGGTTCCATGATCTCAATCTGCTTGAATTGATTTATCAAATCAGCCTGGAGGCTGCTGGTGAGATTCTAATTGCTGCTACTAAGAATGGCAATGTGAGGAATCAGGAGTTCGAGTACCACTCCTCTCGCGCAGGTCGCGATGACCATTTAGCACCCTGGGGCAAGCTCCTCACCGGTTTGGTTTGCGACCCTCCCATCATTTCTATATTTCCCTTCTATCTCATGATGTGTCAGTCTTTTGGCTTAGAGACACTTACGGCACAAGAGAATTATGTTTACGCCACTCTCACAGGTGTCGACTGGCTCAAAGGGAAAACCAAATGGAGTGAACGGTTTGCAACTTTTGAGCAAAATGCTCGCGCTGCTGTCCCTCGTCTTGAGGATAAACACTCGGGAAAAGATCGGTCTTTCTGGCGCGTTGCTCTTGCTTACCTTCAGGCCGTGAACAACACCGAACATGCCAGAGAGTTCACTGCACCTCACCATTCATATATCGTCACCAACATGAATCCCGACATCCTGATAGCTGTCCGTGGCTTTGACACAATCGGGTGTGCCTATATGTGTAGTGATGGTGCAACTTATCTTGACGGCCCTGGAATGGATTCCCTTATCGGATCCGCAGTACCAAACGACGTCATGGATTTTCACACCGATATACTGACGGGAGAGACTCGCAATCTGCTCCGCCTATTATACCCCAATGGTCAGAATATCGAAAATTCGATTGCAACAATGTCTACGGTTCTCTCTGGCATGTTATGTGAGCTCTTCCGCGGCCACAAGCGCGCTCGATTCGGCGGTCGAGAGGATGGCCGCATCGCCGCCACATCTCCACCGTACAGTTTCTGTCGTGCCCGACACCGAAAGATCTTCGAGATCTTGGAAGCATACATTGCGAATTATCCCAAGTTTTGGGACTGGACATGGCAAATTTACGATCAAGCAAAGGATCAGATTACTGAAGCTGGTCTTGACGAACCCCTCGTCAATGCGCTCAAGAGAGCTATCAATCAGACAGCACTCTCCGATTCGAAGCGCAACAATTTCTTTAGAGAGTACTTCGAAATAATTGAAAAGCGCGAAGGACAGCCGCAGGGGAAACAGAATCTGGGTGTTCAAGGCGAGCTCGGAAAGATCGTCCATGAGATCAACTCTCTGTGGCACGCCCAGCTCCTGTCCAGTGACAAGAAGCCTGGCTGGGGACATGATTTTGACGAGAGGTCTGATGCTCTCCTCGGACGGGCGGGTGAGATCCTTACCTCCAAGAATGGCATCGACAAGCTGTACCGATTTTCAATCGCTTACGGTCGCTTAAGCATGGCCTTGCCATATATTGCATACCACACAGTCGGTGCTATTATTCTAACGTTTGGGGTGGTTCCGTTGCAGTAGGAGTATATGGTGAAGTAATAGGATATATCTGGGCGCATCTAACTATCTCAATTCACATTGCCAAGTCAAAACAAAATCCTAAAGAACAAACTACTGAACTTTGTCCTTCCCGAATTCCGACAGAATTACAGTCGTGCCGGCGGCCTTCAAATAATCTCGTCTTATAACGTCTATACCTGCGTGGTCGAACACCCTGCGTGATCGAACAAGAATTCTATTATCTAACACAACATACTATGTAGCGAGCTAGCAGCGCAGATAATCTCGGTATAGGGATATTAATGTATGCGCTTTATTTATGCTAAATATCTTTTACTAGTCTCTTCTACTTAGTCTGTAGGACAACGATCTATCCTTTCCTGCAGGTATAGCATTTATTCGGACAGCTTCGGGCGCAGGAAGCGGTTGAAAAATCATCCCGAAAAATACTTAATATTACAACTAGCTAGCTATAGAGCTTAATCAGAGCGTGGAGATGGGCTGTCAATAGTGGTTGCTCTTTTCGATGGCGACTTGATACCCCTTTGTGCAAGCTGCAAAACCAGCGGCGAGCGCCCAGGTAAGGAGCGGGATACTGCTAACGTTAACTTACGAAACAGACCTGCTGAGGTAATCAAATGCCAAGCTGGGACCTTGGAGAACTGTGGCTGTGCTCATCTGACTGTGCGTCAGGCACTAGTTCTAATGCTTACAGGGCGGGGCGGATTCGCGCTGTGAGCCGACCTTGCTGTTAAGCCCACGTCGTCACTACGCAATAAGGAATGATCCTAATGATAATCGTATGTCGGCATTATCACCCTGTGCAGTTTCTATGGAATGGTCACGTCTCATTCAATGGATATTCGCCTGTCCTTTGTCCCGAGATTCAACTACTGCCTTCGATTCCACTGCCCATTGGCCCAATACTTCATGAGCACACGGGAGAGCGCAATAGCAGCATCATTCATACGAGCGTGATTTGTCATCGTTGATTACGTAGATAGTGGTTCTCTTCACAAAGAGGAAATAGAGGAAAAAGGTTAAGTAGAACAGTGTTTATAATTCATTCACACAGAGATGTTGACAGGAAGGCGCCCAAGATCTTGCCATGCGTCGCAATTGGGCATCGTCCTTAGCGCCGGCTTTGGCGCCGTCCTGAACGATGCGCCCGGAAGTTCACGTAGTAGCTGCGCATCATGCTCGCTATGTATGTAACATGTGATTTTGTTTCCAGAAAATGGATCCATTCTTCCCGCGTTCTCTTGTACCAATATGTAAGCAAGTTTTAAAACTTCCTGACCAGCCTGGAGAAGATTCATGTCACACCATTCCTTGCTGAGATTCATCCCGTCAACCAGCTGCTCAGCGCCAATCCTTGCAACGGCGTCATTAGTATTAAGATATATCTGACAAAGTCCCAGGAACAGCGATGGCAGCCGCGGCCAGCTCAATGCCTTATTGAAGATGTAGGAAGGGAGTCGGAAATTTGAGGACTGAGATGGAGGCATGTCGCAAGTTCTGTACTGGGAATGATAACCATATCCAGTGGATTTAGCCCCCGAGAGATATCATCGAATGACCACCGTAAGCGAAGGATCTAGCGCAACCGACCGCAGCCTCGGGTAGCCGCGCTTGTATTCCGTATAACAGTTGAACTCTTTAAGCTCTTCGGTTTCGTATAGGCCGGTAGAGGTGAGGTATGCCGCGGTGTTTTGTAGTTGTGTTATTGGGACGCATATTTCTAGATCCTTCGTCATACGGTTAGTCAGTGTTGCAACTGGAGCGAGCTTAAACGGGCTGGCATACATGAACAACACGGGGCACATTGTAATACTGAAGAGCGAGCTCGCCGACAAAGCAAGACGTTATACCACTCTTAAGTAGTGATGTCAGTCTTCGGATTTGCTCTTCCATTGAGCACTGTGTGCAGGTCAGCGAAAGTCTTATACGTGCTGCAATGCTGGCTTTGGTCATAGGTGGACCGATAATGTAGGCTTTCCAGATCCCCCGAACGCTTTGACCAACCCCATCCTTGGCAATGGTCCTTCCCAAAGTTGTTGCATCGTTGCGACCGTGTTCAGGCAGATCCTCGACCCAGAAATCAACAATGCAATGCGCAAGGCGCCTTTTCAGCTGGCTTTCACGAGGCACGCAGTTCCAAATCCTTTCCGATCTCCACCTTGAAGTTGGACAGCAATACGACACTTACCAAATTCCGCCTTGCGCACCATACTTGATCCTTGCTGGTGATATAGGCCGTCTGCTAGATTATGAAGGTTACCTGGCCTTTCTCACCCGTCATGTCAGCCAGTTTCTATCGATCTTTCTTGTCCTTTGAAACCACGAGTTTTACGGCCTTACACTTGAAGATGGACTAGAACGAGCCCAGAAGCTAGCAAGAGAGCAGGCGCTTTGCAGTAAAGTTATTCTTCTACATCGGACAAGGCATGATCTTGCGGAGCTTGGTGTAATCATTCTGGGATGCACACTATGATCTGCTATTCCTCGGGAGGCAGAAGACATCGTGACAGCTTCCTTCAATGACTTTAGGCGGATTGTCGGGTGGGATGTACACCAGCATAATCTCGCTCATCAACGCGATGCCGAATGGCTAACTGCAGAGGTCAGCATCACTCGAGAGAAATCGGGAGACAATGAAAGGAGACGGATCCTCATGGTGACACATTATGCGCCATGCATTGAGGGTACTTCCCATCCAGAGCATGCAGCATCGAATTGCAATTCGGCCTTCGCTACTGACATACTCGATAACGATAATGATGGTTGGAGTAGAGTACATACATGGGTGTTCGGACATACACATTACAACACAGCCTTTACACGGAGTGGAACTTACATTGTCTTGAATCCGAGGGGATACGTACTTGATCCAGCGAAAGAGAATGCTCCCTTAAAGAAAGGACAGAAGAAGAGAGGACAGAAGAAAATGCGTAGTTTTGACCCTAAAAGGGTCATTGCGCTATAATCGAACATATATGCAGTGAAAGAGGCATGCTAGCATGATCACAACAACTGGTACTTGGGGTTGGCTTTTACTTAATGATCGCGTAAAAGTTTCTTCCTATTTGCTCGTACATAGATACTGTAATGTATAGTAACTGATCCTGAGTACAGAACCTCTCCTATCCCAAAATTACAAGCTGCCAGTCTTTCTCGGCCAAACGAGAATCCTCCTCCGTGTGAAGGTTGCTTGCACTTTGTTAATGCCGTCAATTTCCACCTTAACTTAACAATTTCTATCCTGAATAGCACTGAAGGCTGGCCGGAACACAACGACATTGCTAGAACGTAATCAGCTTCCTGCCTTGAAGAACAGATCTCACCCGTTGCTGTACGTTCTCAAACCTTATAAAGGCACATGTCTCACTTTCCAGATGGTTAAATAATCCAGCAAGTTAAACAAACTCCTTCCCACACTTCGCGTTCGAGTTCGGGAAATGATACACCTTCTGCTTATGCACTGGGGAACTAAGATGCGCATTTAGAGCATTATTAGTGTTAAAGGTCTTGTGGCACAGATAGCACTCCCAATGAGAACCATTAAATGCATGCTTGGTAGCGGAGTATTTGACGTTTTCATCCTGATGCCATTCAATTTGCTTCTTGGTGATGGTACCGTGCTGATCACGCTCGCGAATCATACGAAGTATAGAATCTCGATTGAGCTTAGGAGCATGCGTGCATGACCCTGTCTCGAGGTGGTGAGTGAGGCCACTAGCAGTTGTGTAGTTTTCCTTGCAGAACGGGCATGGGACCTTGGTGCCTCGGTGAATCTCTGAGTTGAGGTGCTGTACTCAGGTCTCTTAGTATCGAATACATACAAGCTTTGGGACTCTCACCATTTCAAGTTGTTCTCAGTCTGAAATTGTTTTTTACAGGCTTTACAATAAGCCTTGTAGTGAGCAAGCTGCTCCATGTGCTGATTCGCTGCGGTCTGTGTATGGAACTTCTTTTCGCATGTTTCACAAGGAATGTTCGGAGCCCAATGTCCCAAGTCATTCATATGCTGATTCGCTGCGTTCTGGGTATGGAACCTTTCTGCATGCTTCGCAGGGAATCTTCGGAGTCCAATGCCCAAGAGCCGTCATGTGCTGGTCGGCTGCCATTCATGTGTTGATCGCAAGCACGTTGGGTGCAGAAAGTACGAGTGCAGGTTTCGCATTCGGGCCAATGGTTATAGTCATTCATGTGCTGCTCGCACTCGCTTTCCCAGTAGAACGTGGCCGGACAGGTCTCGCACTCATATTCGTACATCTTGCACAAGAAGTTTAAGTGATGGGGTTGAGTAAAGCAAGACTGAGGAGGATGCGGAGTGTAGTTCTGGGGTTGAAGTGCTGCCTAGCGGAGCCTGGAAACACGTGGCCGGTGTTGCCTTGTTGCATTATCACTGTTCCACCACCCCACCAACCTCTTTCCCGCGTCAATGGTCGCCGGAAGCCAATAAGACATGTCAGCGCCTGCAGCGTGTTGCGTCGGGACCAAACCTTAGCTGCGAAGAAAGAGCTCGACGAGGAAGAATTCAGAGCTCCTTTCATGGACCCAATCAGACTAAAACCAGCATTTAGGCGAAGAAGAACTTCCTGGCTGTTTCAGGCCAGCTTCAATCTGCTGGCAATTACTGCCATACTTCTAGAAACATGAGCTTGGGTAGTGTCACGTGCGCTATTGAAGAACGTTCAGCGATCACCTATAACTTGGGCCTTCTTCGAGGTCGTCACCAGAATATGTCTCACAATTCATATCGTGTCCCGCTATGATCATGTCTTCCCCACAGTAAGGCTCGAGAAGCGCACGAGGCCACGGGTATCCCAGGGATGTGATTCGCTCGTCCCTGAAGCCAAAGGCAGCCCTAAGGCGGCGCGTCATCCCGTGGCTAGCTTGAACCAGGTTCAGAATGGAAAAAAAAGTTTTTGTCTTTTCTCTTCTTTCTATGGGGTGAGACTGTCGGCTTTGGTTCTCAGCCCATATACAAATGTACAGGTTAGACGTTGTATCTTGAGGAGGACACATGTCATCTTACTAGCCTTAGAAAGTCTGGCATAGCCCCAACCAGCTGAAACGGACTATAAATGGACGTCATCATCATCATCCTCTTACAGTCGAGGTATTGAGTCGATACATCAGAGCGACCACTATTAATAGCCCTGTCCCGTGCTCGAATCAAGTTCTACAGATATCTGTCTATAACATAAGTGAATTTTAGCATATTTCTTGGAATAGTTCATGCGTCCGAAGCTATCCGAATTATAGCCATGCCAGCAGGACGAGCCATATGATGCTACTGTCAAAGGATGAGTGTGGGGTATCAAGATTTTAGGCAGTCGAATGGAAGCGCATCATTTCCTGTCTATGATACGAAATTATATGCGCCCCTAATCCGCTACAGCGTGTGCTGTGTTGAATAATAGAATTCCTGTCCAATTAGCTAGGGCGTCCGGCAGGGTAGGGATAGATGTTATAGCATCGCAGATCTTTCTTACCAATAAGAACTTTCACTGAACCAGGCATACTCAACATAACTCCAGTCTCGTCCATGTTGTAGACATTGTCCGGGTTGATGTCTGGTCTCTGAAGCACCTTACTGATAACTTCAAACCAGTGTTTGGTCTTCTCATAGATATTATATCTCTTCATGCCTAGCGCATGTTTTTTTTTGCTATAATATCTGGATTACATTTTTTAAAGCCCCGGGGCCAGTCCATATTAGCTTACTATAGTTACGGTGGTGGTGATGGTGCTGACACAAAGGAAAGAGAACTAATGTGGGTGTCGGCGTCGCGAGCCGCCCGGTGTAACGAGCCGGATCTGGGGTTTGGCCATTTTATTTCTCTCTTTCATAAGTATATAAAGCTATCATTAATATGTCACTAGTCTTCAGTTATTTCTCCTCTAGGATCCCACTCTATTACACAACCAAGCGTATATCGGTTAAGCTATCGGTCCTTTCGATGACGCCCGCAATCGCCATTCCAATTTCTCCCCCCTGCTAAGTCGGACCTGGAGGATTTTTTCCGAAGATCGACGTGCTGTTGAGGAAATTCTATTATGGATAACAATATGGATCCAAAATTTAGAAACAGCCTACTTAAGGCAACCTTTATACCAGGGGTTGGAAGGTGGAGGAGGGGGCCCTGCAGGATGCGGGGCTAATTAACGCCTCTTGGCACTCATCAGTAAGCGCTACTTAACCACGTACTGAATATATAATAACTAACGCTCTCGTACGTTTCGATTTATTCTATACCCATTGTGGCGCACTATAGAAGCTCTAGAAGCTTCCATGCAAGCGCCCCTCGCCCTACCAGCACCCAGGAGGCTGCAGCCTCTCCACGCGATAACTGCGGATTGAGGGACAGCGACATTCCCGTGTGGCGTTCTCATATCTCGAGGCTCGATCTTTGATCCTCCAACTCCTGCTTGAGAGAGATGGCTACCTTTCTATCACTGTAGAACGTTCCTAGCGGATGCTTGGACTTACGTTAGTGGTTTGCGGTCAAGGTAGACGCTTAGGAGCTAAAAATATGTCCTGTTTTCGGGGTCTGGCTCAGTCCCCCCAAGGTGCGCCTTTCCTTCGCGCTCTCTCCTCCGCGCTTCACACTCTACTCCTCCACATTCTACTCCTCCGCGCGCTTTTTCTTACTTCCTTCTCCTAGTAGCCTAGCATGGATAAAGCTAGTCTGGCACTGGCACAACAGCTTCCGGAAGGCGTGAGCAAATCATTTCGTAGCCGAGCAGATCATACCGGTGTCGCTCGTACTACCCTCCAGCATCGTGCACGCGGGCGACGTTCCCGGGAAAAGAAAGCCGAGGGCCAGCGTTATCTCTACCCATGGGAAGAGAAAGCCCTCATTAAGTTTCTGGTACACCAGGATGCTCTTGGGCGCCCTGTCCAAATGAAGTGTATACGTTCGATAGCCTTCGGTCTCGCCTGCCAGCGACCTCCAGCGGACAGACCAAGCGATCTTCCATACAGGAATTGGCCTCAGTTTTTCTATAAACGGCATGCCGAACTTACGGCTAGCAGAAGTGGAGCACTAGACTGGAAGCGTTATGACATATACGACAAGGTCGTGCACTGGTTCAACGCGATCGAAATAGTGCTATCAGATCCGGCCGTGCGTCAAGAGAATGTGTACAACATGGATGAGACTGGCATCATGCTTTCTAAGCTTAATTCTGTTAAAGTGCTTGTTGGCAAGGATAACAAGCGAGGCTATAGAGTCGCCCGTGTCAAGCGCACAACGATAACAGCCATCGAATGTGTAAGTGGCGACGGTAGGTATTTGAACCCGATGATAATCTGGCCCTCGTCGACTCACAGAGCCAATTGGGTGACACATCCCACTCCTGGATGGCATTATGCGTGCTCCGAGAGCGGATATACCGACTCCTATATCACCTTA